CTAATCGTTTCATCGAGCACCATATGCAACTCGCTTCAATGATCCAATCTCGATCTACAATCAAAAGAGTGCTAGACTATCCAGTAGGTTTAGAGAGACGGCTCTAGTCAGCTTCAGTAATCCCATCTCGATCTGAAATCACAAAGCATTTCAATGCATTAGTAAAAGAATGCAAGACTATCTTGCACAAGATGAAAACGTCTAGCGATACAACACCAAAAAACTTGAGCCCGGGAGACACAAAGTCGCTCCAGGCCTCCTTCATACCCCCCGTAAGGCAGGCGGCATTGGCCTCGGTTCGGTCCCCGTCGCCATCAAAACCCAGCGGGTGAAACACGCGCTACTGGCACTTACCCGGCCGGAGGATGTTTATTCCTCAGCGTGAGTGTCCTGGATTACGCATGGCGCAAAGATCACGGCCATCAGTCCGCATCGGCCGAGCGTGAAACACGTTGTATCACTGTTTTTCCGAGCGGTATCCTGATGTACATCATGAGCTTGGATGCACGCTGACGCCAACACCCGCGCAAACGGAGGACATCCTGGCACGGGTACAGGACCATCTACCGACCGTTCGGTCATCATTGACCAGCTGGTGGGAAGAGAAAGACTGGGTGCTGCATCTCTCTGTACCCATTCCCTGTCGGAGTCGAGTTTTGGCCCCAGGAGATCACAGACTTCTGGCAGACTTTCCGGTGGAGTGGAAACCCTTGGATTCTCACACCTCAAGCATCGACGCTGTACCGGTCCCAGTAGGACAGAATTTGCGATGTCTCTATATCCAGCGGACAGGACTCCAGGAATACGTCTTCGGCGGCATTTTCACGGACCTCCTCGCCCCCCGCCATTCCCATGCAAAATTTCGAGAATGGGCGATCATCGTCTTACTTTCGTCGCCGTCCCTTGACGTCGGGAATCCGGTGGGGCGTCCGGCCCCGCTCCGGCTGCGGCGTCAGCCCCCTTTCACACAAGCCATCGCATGGGTGCAGGTCAGACCGGGCAGGGTTCGGGGCTCTTCGCTCTCTGCCGACAATGATCACCCGCAGAGTTGGGAGCTCACTCAATGCCACAATGGTCTTACTTGGATGTTCGACGGAGAACCGCCGCCGGTCCAGGGAAAAACGCAGGACTTCACCCAACCAGCGGAGCGCAAGCTCATCCGGAATGAGGTCGTCTTTTTTTCCAATCCACAGGTCCACCACTATCCATGGTCTGCTCCGCCAATGGTTCCCAATCGCCGCGTCGTCTCTTTCGTGAAGCGGCAAGCTTTCAAGTCGTCTGAGCGGTGTCTTGCAACACCGCTGAAGCAGGTCATTGATCAACTAGGCTCCAAGAGCCAGCAAACGCGATGGCAACGAGCAGCTCTCGATGTATCGCCGGGTCATCTATGGAGTCACGGACACGCGGTGACGGAATATCAGCTCTGGACACAGTACCGCCACGCTACCGGTCAGCTAAAGTTTTGGTATCAGGACCGGCCTCCGGACGGGACTTGCATGTATCGAGAATGTGTAGGACAGAAGGAGACCCAGGAGCATCTCTTCTAAGGATGTCCCCGTGCTCAAGCACTTTGGGCCCGGCTCATCAGTCATTGGGAAAGCACACCCCGTAAGCCTCACCACCTACTGGGATGGCTCGAGCACTGCGCAAACCGTAGCGTACCCCGCCATTCACCGCGGGTCACAGCAATGCTGGTAGCCCGCTACCCCGACGACATCGATCAATTCGCCACGGCCTAGAAGACGATATGGAAGGTCGCAGGGACCGTCATCATCATAATGCTCTGGCAACACCGTCTGAACTGCATTTTTTACAATGCGGATATCCCAATGCAAGCCAGTGAAGCCTTAATTTGGGGCCGGATTCAGCTCCAACCGCGAGCGCTCATTAAACGCCTCCATTGCAGAGCTGACACGGCCGTGCGAGGTGCCCAACTTTCTGCATGTTACGACATATTTATATCAGAACCGAGAGGGCAGCCCGGCCTACATAGCCAGGCAGCCCGTTTCGGTAGCCGTGGGACCCTCCAGCGTTGCTAGTATGGTTAACAACCTATCAGAGATCTTGCACTAACCAATAAATAGACAATCTGTTCTCTCTCATTCAAACACTATTGGACAGAAATTCTCGATAGGAATATTCTGGATTATAATTAAGAGAAAAAACCGGCTTTAGTAAAGACATACATTACCACAACAAAACCTTTTTATGCTCACTAACGCTTGTGTGAGCATTAAAATAACGCACCTAGCCATGGAAGTAAGAAATGTGTGATAGCGAGCTTTGTCTCTTGCAGCCTTGAGCTACAGGTGATGTGCTTGCTACTGCCTGCATTTCTGTGGCGTTTAGACAAATTTAATCGATGTAGATGAGACAGAAAGCGTCGTTGATGTATTGAGTATAGATGGAAGGGTAGACATCGACTGTTACCTCACATACAATGTCTGCTTGTGCCGTGTTGTACACGACCCCTGATGAACGTGATTTTCACCAGTGTCGAACATGTTGAGAAGATTTTGTACGTCCACTATCCGAATCGATGCTTTCAGACTCCGGTCTTCTTGGCTTAAGCGCAGACAAGATCCAACGAACAAGGTTTGACCGACGATTTTGCTTTGACAATGAAGCTGACGCAGACAAGATCCAACGAACAAGGTTTGACCGACGATTTTGCTTTGACAATGAAGCTGACGCAGACATTATACTCGCACAATTTGCTCCTACAACGGACATTCGACTTTGTACTTTTGCCATCGAATTTTAAAGTGATTTGGTTGCACTGGGATATAGCACGATGACAACAATCAGCGCACCACCGACGTCTGGTTTAGATTCTGCTATAGCCGATAGATATTTGGAATGTTCCGATCACAAGCTGGTCAAAGCTGTTGTATTATGTTTTCAATAGTACTCTAGAGATCATGAATCATTCGCAAGCTCAATAGCATGCGCAATTGTTGCACACGCAGTTTCGCCCAAGATGCTTCTTGCAATTTGTAATGCTGAATATCGTCCATGATACGAGTATCTTCTACCTCAAAGTCGCGTGCTTTTTCTATGCCAAAGAAACAATTGACCTTAACTATTCAATACGATTCGAACTGCCATCACGTTTGTAAGCAATGTTGTTTTTCTCATGCAAGCAGCACTGTGTACTAGCAACGTTGTCGCCAAGTCATATGCGATCCTACAAGTTTATAAAGGCCACCACAGCTGAGGCCATCATCATCCGTCTCGTCTACAACCTGAGTACGGGTACTATCGCGCGATGAAGCATCCAAACACCATCACTATCAATACCGTGGATGTCTGACAGCAGCATGTACAAGTAGCAACCAAGGTTGACGGCTTTCTATTCCACCGTAATCAGAGTCACAGCCTCAATTAACCTCTCGTGTCATCAAGTCGGCAATGATGTTCAGTCGCGGCTGCATACTCAATATGGAGACTGATCGTGCTTTCGAGGGCTACCGCTTGACTGAAGCTGCTTCATTATCATGCGCTTCATTTCTTCAAGTACTTGTTTCCGACTCAAAGAACTAATCACAACAACCAACTTTGCTCTCTGTGTGACAACAAACAAATGAGCGAATGCTATTTATTGTTGAAGCCTGCAACAAGGCAGTACGTACCACTCAAACAAAGTGCAGTGGATTGTAGCCCGCTAGCTCAATTACATCATTGCTTCATTACGTCCTTGATGCATGTGACCCACTCATCATAGTGAGCCTCTGTCACTGCGTGCAGTAAGGTCCTGATACACGAACAACAGTCAAAAACACACGAGAATTAGCTGCAACCTGTTCCCGATACAACCACCTCAAACAAGAGCAACTCCTTTTACCTAAGCTGTCTCTGCTTGTTGTTTTGGACGAAGATCTGATTGAGTCGGTCCATAATAGCAGCGCTATCTTCGTCTAATTGGCGCTCATCTGGAGACTTGTGGGGAAGCTTTGCCTGGAGGTCTTCAACGCACGAAACCACGCGCTCGTACTCACCATGAACAAGATAGTCCCACACCTAAGATGCGAGCCGCTCGTCGATGCGAGTGATATTGACATTGTGAGACGACGATGGGCAAGAGGTCTCGTCGAGTGACGGTTGCTCCCAATCACGCGCAACCCGCACCACGTGCTGTGCAAGCACCCACTCTTCCTGATCGATGCACTCCTTGAGCAATTCGGCTGCGCTTTGCATCCGCAGCGGCAATGAAGAAGTCGACGCAGTCGAGCACTCGTCCATGATGAGCAGAAAGTTGGCAGCCGTTCGCAACTCCGACCGTTGTCGACAACTGTTAAGCAAACTTATCGGGTCGCCTGCCGCAGGAAACAAGATTTTCAGTCGAGATGGTTCGCTCTTACGTTGTGAAAATGTGCAAAATGTTCTCAACCAATCATGTTTGTTATGTTATTGTATTAGATACAGTATCTAAAAAATGTTAAGCAGCGTAATACGGGGACGAATGATGGTGACGGCAAAGCGCCCGCTAAATTACGTGTGGTTCTCGTCAAGTACCGATCAAACCGGTAAAAAAGCAGAGCAGGCGATGCAATTGGCGCTACAGAAACAGCTGGATGCGGTACATGTAAAGGTAACGGACGTATCAGGTGGTTGTGGCTCCATGTTTGACGTACAAGTCGTATCTGCGCAATTCATTGGCCAATCGCGGGTCAAGCAGCACCGTTTGGTTAATGAAGTACGTACGCTCATACAAAATGATCGACATTTGCGTAGTCACTGATATTATTCCTGTTGTATCTTGTAGATTCTTAAGGAAGAGATTAAGAGCATGCATGGATTGACAATCCGGACCATATGACACCTCAACAATTTCAAGAAAAGTAAATGTAGAGTGAGGTTTGACAAATACGTGGAAAATGTAATCGATACGGAAGATATTGCAACAGGAATCTTCATATTGTTCAGTCGGGCGTACAATACGTGTAGGTTTGAACAATTAGGTCGAATACCTTTCACGGCCATTGACATGGCAGAGTTTTCTATGAACTGGACGCATACTTGACAATGCCCACGTCATTAATGATACAAATGTGGTCTAGATCACGAAAGATCTCGTTGTAGTCAAGACAGTAGCCGATCACAAATTTGTCTGGGATGTTGAAGCCTACAAAGTCAGGCTGGAAGCCGCAGCTGTCTGGGTTTCGTTTCTCTAAGAGACTGGCACAACGCACCGATTTGGGTTCGTACTCGGTGAGCATCGGTACAAGTTTAGCCATTGTTTTGCCTGTGTCGATAATGTCTTCGACGAGCAACAGATTCTTGTCCTTGTATTTGGCCACGTCAGCACCCGTGACTTGCACGTTGCCCGTGCTCTTGGTACCCACATAGCTTTTCACAGTGATAAAGTCAAATGTAAAGGGCACGTAGTCACATTTATTGTACTTGTGAAACAATCGTAGCTTCTCTACGAGTGCGTTGAAGAAAGCACTGCCACCTTTGAGCACACAAAGCAGATGCACCGTCTCACCCTCATAGGCATAGCGTATGTCCTGGGCCAATTTCTCGACACGGTCGTCAATAAGACCCCTAGGGACGAGTACGGATTCAATGCTGTCCAAATAGTGGTGTGGTACGATGAACTGCGACTTGTCATAACTCACGTCGTCTTCTACGTGAATCACGCTCTTTTTAGATTTAAAGGCTTATTCTGTTGATTCTCAGCAGCAAGAGCAAGTCAGTATCGTTTAATTAATATATTAGAGAAAATGAAAAGAGTGTAACGTACAGTCATAGCACGTGAAAAGGCAATTTGTCGTGACAAATGATGCTTTGTTTGCACCAGTCAAATTATACAAGGCAAAACGGACAACTTTGATTACCTATCTGGCTTTTAATGAGTCGAAAACTGTGTAAAGGTATCAGCTGAATAAAACCTCAATCTGCTAATAAGCAGCAACCAAGTTTTATTAGCAATTGGGTCATACAGTATAGTATACCGCCCTAACATGTCTTCTACTTACCAAAGACAGAAGACATTTGTGAAATGTAAAGTACTAAAACAGATCCTGCCAACACCCTATATCGACACCAACAGTGACCTTGGTGCTTATAAAACGCATCTAGCGGCTTTGCATATTCCAGGGCACTTAGAAAAAAATCACGTATCATTTTTTCTGTGCACTAAAAGTTAGTAGATAGCCGACAGGTAGTCGTTGTTCATAGCGCAAAATTAGTATCTGAATGAAGCATCACGACTGTGTCGTGCCTCTTACATATTTGATTGATTAAAATAGAATTTGTCACGCTGAGCGACTTCCGCTTGTCCTGATTTATAGTGACAATGCAAATAACTAGTCCAGTTGGCTGTGCACAAATGGCAATACATACATGTACTATTGCTACTAATACTTGCAGAATATTGGTTTAAACGAGGAATATTTCTCATTTTAATGATACAAAAATAACAATGAAAACCGTTGTATGTAAAGTGAATTGACATTAGATGAGTATAATGTAGAGCAAATCTAATGTTTAAGGGCTTTTGCAACAAGACGATGGAACTTCTTTGTACTCAGCGGTGACTTGGACCCAAAAAATTTCGTATGTTCCAATGCATCTTGCGCTTCCTTCGTCATGTTGCTCCACATAATTAAATCTTGAAACTCTCCAGGTTTTGTCGTAGCTTTGAGGAAATGCTGAGAATGTACTAGCCACGTGTACTTGACCTTGAAGTGGTCACCGTCCATGTATTGCGCTTCATGAGGACCGTAGGTAGTATACCCAATCTGGGTCTTCACCGTCACCGAAAGAAGCTCAGCATTAGAAGTAAAATCGCTCAGCCGCACAAACAAATGCTCCCAGCCGCTGTGGTGGCCAAACCACGGTAGCGATACCATGCGGTCTCTTGGAAAAAACAACGCATACAGGATAACGAAGTGACCGCCTTGTTCTACCATTCGTCCATAGATTTGAGATCCCAGCGGGGATCCCTTGCACGTAGTAAAAATTCTCCAGACACTGAGGCCATCACTGGTGTCGCCATGTTTATTGACAGCGGGATATGGGTGGCATCCATTACTGATGTGAAGCTGCGGCTTGAACCTTAGAGCGGCTGCATACATTTCATTATCAGGTTGTACCTCTGGGAACGGAGCTACTTGATCGAAATCAAGCGTCATTGAAGAAGATGAACCAATCAAGCTTGCAGCGATAGTGAATATACGAAACAAATTCATTTGTGCTAATGGTGAGCAGTAAGAGGAAGATTCCAAAATGAATTTGCAAATGCCTCTTCAAGACGTAAGAGATCGTCGAGCTGATTCTCAGACAGTGCATCAGAATGACAGTGTTTTATTGCCAGTCATTTTCCATAAAGACAGCGTCGTTGTGGTTATGCACAAGAAACCTGTGAAATATGGGCTCGTATTTCAAGCTCTAAACCTTCGAAGATCTGGTCCAGACTAGAAATGTGGATTTGAACCAGCAAGGCATATCTGGTCGCGTTTTTGTATAGTATGACCTACATAACCAAAATTTTATCAAGTCTATGTACAAAACTTATTTCTCTACACATCAGATTAATTCAGCTGCATCTGTATGTATAGCTACTTCATCAAGGAAATTACATAGTATACATTATTTATGATTAATTGCATTCGTTGTCCTTTACATTTGACTTTATCACTGTGAAAAGCTATGTGGGTACCAAGAGCACGGGCAACGTGCAAGTCACGGCGGATGCTGACGTGGCCAAATTCAAGGACAAGAATCTGTTGGTCGTCGAAGACATTATCGACACAGGCAAAACAATGGCTAAACTTGTACCGATGCTCACCGAGTACGAACCCAAATCGGTGCGTTGTGCCAGTCTCCTAGAGAAACGAAACCCAGACAGCTGCGGCTTCCAGCCTGACTTTGTAGGCTTCAACATCCCAGACAAATTTGTGATCGGCTACTGTCTTGACTACAACGAGATCTTTCGTGATCTAGACCACATTTGTATCATTAATGACGTGGGCATTGTCAAGTATGCGTCCAGTTCATAGAAAACTCTGCCATGTCAATGGCCGTGAAAGGTATTCGACCTAATTGTTCAAACCTACACGTATTGTACGCCCGACTGAACAATATGAAGATTCCTGTTGCAATATCTTCCGTATCGATTACATTTTCCACGTATTTGTCAAACCTCACTCTACATTTACTTTTCTTGAAATTGTTGAGGTGTCATGGTCCGGATTGTCAATCCATGCATGCTCTTAATCTCTTCCTTAAGAATCTACAAGATACAACAGGAATAATATCAGTGACTACGCAAATGTCGATCATTTTGTATGAGCGTACGTACTTCATTAACCAAACGGTGCTGCTTGACCCGCGATTGGCCAATGAATTGCGCAGATACGACTTGTACGTCAAACATGGAGCCACAACCACCTGATACGTCCGTTACCTTTACATGTACCGCATCCAGCTGTTTCTGTAGCGCCAATTGCATCGCCTGCTCTGCTTTTTTACCGGTTTGATCGGTACTTGACGAGAACCACACGTAATTTAGCGGGCGCTTTGCCGTCACCATCATTCGTCCCCGTATTACGCTGCTTAACATTTTTTAGATACTGTATCTAATACAATAACATAACAAACATGATTGGTTGAGAACATTTTGCACATTTTCACAACGTAAGAGCGAACCATCTCGACTGAAAATCTTGTTTCCTGCGGCAGGCGACCCGATAAGTTTGCTTAACAGTTGTCGACAACGGTCGGAGTTGCGAACGGCTGCCAACTTTCTGCTCATCATGGACGAGTGCTCGACTGCGTCGACTTCTTCATTGCCGCTGCGGATGCAAAGCGCAGCCGAATTGCTCAAGGAGTGCATCGATCAGGAAGAGTGGGTGCTTGCACAGCACGTGGTGCGGGTTGCGCGTGATTGGGAGCAACCGTCACTCGACGAGACCTCTTGCCCATCGTCGTCTCACAATGTCAATATCACTCGCATCGACGAGCGGCTCGCATCTTAGGTGTGGGACTATCTTGTTCATGGTGAGTACGAGCGCGTGGTTTCGTGCGTTGAAGACCTCCAGGCAAAGCTTCCCCACAAGTCTCCAGATGAGCGCCAATTAGACGAAGATAGCGCTGCTATTATGGACCGACTCAATCAGATCTTCGTCCAAAACAACAAGCAGAGACAGCTTAGGTAAAAGGAGTTGCTCTTGTTTGAGGTGGTTGTATCGGGAACAGGTTGCAGCTAATTCTCGTGTGTTTTTGACTGTTGTTCGTGTATCAGGACCTTACTGCACGCAGTGACAGAGGCTCACTATGATGAGTGGGTCACATGCATCAAGGACGTAATGAAGCAATGATGTAATTGAGCTAGCGGGCTACAATCCACTGCACTTTGTTTGAGTGGTACGTACTGCCTTGTTGCAGGCTTCAACAATAAATAGCATTCGCTCATTTGTTTGTTGTCACACAGAGAGCAAAGTTGGTTGTTGTGATTAGTTCTTTGAGTCGGAAACAAGTACTTGAAGAAATGAAGCGCATGATAATGAAGCAGCTTCAGTCAAGCGGTAGCCCTCGAAAGCACGATCAGTCTCCATATTGAGTATGCAGCCGCGACTGAACATCATTGCCGACTTGATGACACGAGAGGTTAATTGAGGCTGTGACTCTGATTACGGTGGAATAGAAAGCCGTCAACCTTGGTTGCTACTTGTACATGCTGCTGTCAGACATCCACGGTATTGATAGTGATGGTGTTTGGATGCTTCATCGCGCGATAGTACCCGTACTCAGGTTGTAGACGAGACGGATGATGATGGCCTCAGCTGTGGTGGCCTTTATAAACTTGTAGGATCGCATATGACTTGGCGACAACGTTGCTAGTACACAGTGCTGCTTGCATGAGAAAAACAACATTGCTTACAAACGTGATGGCAGTTCGAATCGTATTGAATAGTTAAGGTCAATTGTTTCTTTGGCATAGAAAAAGCACGCGACTTTGAGGTAGAAGATACTCGTATCATGGACGATATTCAGCATTACAAATTGCAAGAAGCATCTTGGGCGAAACTGCGTGTGCAACAATTGCGCATGCTATTGAGCTTGCGAATGATTCATGATCTCTAGAGTACTATTGAAAACATAATACAACAGCTTTGACCAGCTTGTGATCGGAACATTCCAAATATCTATCGGCTATAGCAGAATCTAAACCAGACGTCGGTGGTGCGCTGATTGTTGTCATCGTGCTATATCCCAGTGCAACCAAATCACTTTAAAATTTGATGGCAAAAGTACAAAGTCGAATGTCCGTTGTAGGAGCAAATTGTGCGAGTATAATGTCTGCGTCAGCTTCATTGTCAAAGGGGGGAAAGGGGGGGGAGACAAGGTCGTTTGGTGTTTTTTTTCCCCACAACATAAAATTAAAAAAAAAAAAAAAAACAAAAAACCTTTTTTTTTTTTTTTTTTCCCCCCCCCCCCTTTTTTAAAAAAAAAAAAATTCGTTAAAACCTTTTTCTTTGCTTTTTTTCCCCCTCACCTTCATTGTCAAAGCAAAATCGTCGGTCAAACCTTGTTCGTTGGATCTTGTCTGCGCTTAAGCCAAGAAGACCGGAGTCTGAAAGCATCGATTCGGATAGTGGACGTACAAAATCTTCTCAACATGTTCGACACTGGTGAAAATCACGTTCATCAGGGGTCGTGTACAACACGGCACAAGCAGACATTGTATGTGAGGTAACAGTCGATGTCTACCCTTCCATCTATACTCAATACATCAACGACGCTTTCTGTCTCATCTACATCGATTAAATTTGTCTAAACGCCACAGAAATGCAGGCAGTAGCAAGCACATCACCTGTAGCTCAAGGCTGCAAGAGACAAAGCTCGCTATCACACATTTCTTACTTCCATGGCTAGGTGCGTTATTTTAATGCTCACACAAGCGTTAGTGAGCATAAAAAGGTTTTGTTGTGGTAATGTATGTCTTTACTAAAGCGCTCTTAATTATAATCCAGAATATTCCTATCGAGAATTTCTGTCCAATAGTGTTTGAATGAGAGAGAACAGATTGTCTATTTATTGGTTAGTGCAAGATCTCTGATAGGTTGTTAACCATACTAGCAACGCTGGAGGGTCCCACGGCTTCGTGAAGATGCGGATTTTCTATAGGCTGCCTGGCTATGTAGGCCGGGCTGCCCTCTCGGTTCTGATATAAATATGTCGTAACATGCAGAAAGTTGGGCACCTCGCACGGCCGTGTCAGCTCTGCAATGGAGGCGTTTAATGAGCGCTCGCGGTTGGAGCTGAATCCGGCCCCAAATTAAGGCTTCACTGGCTTGCATTGGGATATCCGCATTGTAAAAAATGCAGTTCAGACGGTGTTGCCAGAGCATTATGATGATGACGGTCCCTGCAACCTTCCATATCGTCTTCTAGGCCGTGGCGAATTGATCGATGTCGTCGGGGTAGCGGGCTACCAGCATTGCTGTGACCCGCGGTGAATGGCGGGGTACGCTACGGTTTGCGCAGTGCTCGAGCCATCCCAGTAGGTGGTGAGGCTTACGGGGTGTGCTTTCCCAATGACTGATGAGCCGGGCCCAAAGTGCTTGAGCACGGGGACATCCTTAGAAGAGATGCTCCTGGGTCTCCTTCTGTCCTACACATTCTCGATACATGCAAGTCCCGTCCGGAGGCCGGTCCTGATACCAAAACTTTAGCTGACCGGTAGCGTGGCGGTACTGTGTCCAGAGCTGATATTCCGTCACCGCGTGTCCGTGACTCCATAGATGACCCGGCGATACATCGAGAGCTGCTCGTTGCCATCGCGTTTGCTGGCTCTTGGAGCCTAGTTGATCAATGACCTGCTTCAGCGGTGTTGCAAGACACCGCTCAGACGACTTGAAAGCTTGCCGCTTCACGAAAGAGACGACGCGGCGATTGGGAACCATTGGCGGAGCAGACCATGGATAGTGGTGGACCTGTGGATTGGAAAAAAAGACGACCTCATTCCGGATGAGCTTGCGCTCCGCTGGTTGGGTGAAGTCCTGCGTTTTTCCCTGGACCGGCGGCGGTTCTCCGTCGAACATCCAAGTAAGACCATTGTGGCATTGAGTGAGCTCCCAACTCTGCGGGTGATCATTGTCGGCAGAGAGCGAAGAGCCCCGAACCCTGCCCGGTCTGACCTGCACCCATGCGATGGCTTGTGTGAAAGGGGGCTGACGCCGCAGCCGGAGCGGGGCCGGACGCCCCACCGGATTCCCGACGTCAAGGGACGGCGACGAAAGTAAGACGATGATCGCCCATTCTCGAAATTTTGCATGGGAATGGCGGGGGGCGAGGAGGTCCGTGAAAATGCCGCCGAAGACGTATTCCTGGAGTCCTGTCCGCTGGATATAGAGACATCGCAAATTCTGTCCTACTGGGACCGGTACAGCGTCGATGCTTGAGGTGTGAGAATCCAAGGGTTTCCACTCCACCGGAAAGTCTGCCAGAAGTCTGTGATCTCCTGGGGCCAAAACTCGACTCCGACAGGGAATGGGTACAGAGAGATGCAGCACCCAGTCTTTCTCTTCCCACCAGCTGGTCAATGATGACCGAACGGTCGGTAGATGGTCCTGTACCCGTGCCAGGATGTCCTCCGTTTGCGCGGGTGTTGGCGTCAGCGTGCATCCAAGCTCATGATGTACATCAGGATACCGCTCGGAAAAACAGTGATACAACGTGTTTCACGCTCGGCCGATGCGGACTGATGGCCGTGATCTTTGCGCCATGCGTAATCCAGGACACTCACGCTGAGGAATAAACATCCTCCGGCCGGGTAAGTGCCAGTAGCGCGTGTTTCACCCGCTGGGTTTTGATGGCGACGGGGACCGAACCGAGGCCAATGCCGCCTGCCTTACGGGGGGTATGAAGGAGGCCTGGAGCGACTTTGTGTCTCCCGGGCTCAAGTTTTTTGGTGTTGTATCGCTAGACGTTTTCATCTTGTGCAAGATAGTCTTGCATTCTTTTACTAATGCATTGAAATGCTTTGTGATTTCAGATCGAGATGGGATTACTGAAGCTGACTAGAGCCGTCTCTCTAAACCTACTGGATAGTCTAGCACTCTTTTGATTGTAGATCGAGATTGGATCATTGAAGCGAGTTGCATATGGTGCTCGATGAAACGATTAGAATCTTCTGTTTATCGAGCAAAGGTTGTACACATTGCTCAAATAACGATACATGTACTCTCTATTCTAGGCTGATTGATTGTTTGTGGACCATACGCCAGATCTACTGCGACACATGCCTACTGCAAGCTTATTGTCGTAGAAGTTTTTGCGTGCATAACCTCAGCTACGCTATCTTTGGTGGGAATGAATGACGTTTATACACTACTGATCTATTACACGGTCTGGGTATCGTAAAACATCTCATTTATCCTGTACAGCCATGATGGCGTTCATTTCAAAATCCTCTTCCTCCGTGCAAATGAATTTATTTTCGATTTTCGCTGTTGCTATAACCTTGCTTGGTCCGGCTTCTTCGTCGACGCATACGATAAGGTTGTTCAATTTCCAGAGGTGCTACCTGATACACTCGAGAATAAAGTCACCCTGAAGTTTCAGCCACGCCTTTACATTAGTGCTGCGTGCTACCCATATCCCGCTGTCGATGCTAATGGCTACATCAATAAAGGAGTAAACGAGATTGAATTTAAATTTTGCGGCAAACCTGCGAAAGGATTACAAACCTATGACAAATGATGAAGTATAAGGGATCAGTGGGTATCATGTATGGATGGTGATTCTTTAGAGGGGTCACTATTTGGTGACAACCCCAAGTGGCAGTGTGTTATTGTGTATCTGGACAGTCTGTCTGAAGATGCTGAGGTATTATCTGTCACACCAATGTCGAACTTTCCCCAATCCGTAACCACTCCGGCGTCATGTTACATGGATGGAAGGAACACACGTCAAAATCAAGACTTTTAAGCAGATTCTTACGCATGTGTACCTCACAAGACATGCAGGAGACTTTCTACCTTTAATCATGTGGAACAGCATGACAAACAAAGCACGTACGGCACTTAATGTCACCGACTTTGATGGAAAGAGGGCACCCTTTAGTGATCCACTGTATGAAGAATTGATGAAAGATGTTTATACTTTATAGGCTAGTCTTAGCTGTTTTGCATTGTGTGGGCTGCCTTCTTTAATAAGTAAAGAGGGTTCATGTTTGCTTTGTTCCACAATTCTGGTTTCTTTTTACCCATTTCCTTGTCTCGATACTAATTCTATCCTCAACAATTGTATTTAAGAAACCTTCGCATAGATACTTATCAGTCGAGTCGCAAGGAACCCCGTGCGGGCAACACTAGTGAATAAAGCACAATTCCTGGATAGCTTCGCTGGGCCAGGTTGAGACGGACGCTGCTATAAATTGAAGGAGTACGTTTAGTTTTTGACGCGTAAGAAAACCCTCATTGCTAGATATAGCCAAATTACCTTCGGAGCGA